CCCCCCCCCCCCAGGACGTGTTGTCATTAGTAGTTTGTGTTGATCACTGTTCTCTCTCTCTTTATGCTGTGTGCAGGTTTCCTGCAGAAAACCGCTGACCTGCTGCAGGTGCCGTTAGACGAGCTGCAGTCGTGTCTGACCGTGAGAACTCTGCGCGCTGGCAAACAGAGCGTCCTCAAACCTTGCACTCAGTCGGAGTGCGGCGTCCGCAGAGACTGTCTGGCTAAAGTCATTTATGCACAGTGAGTCGTATGAACTAGGTTTGACATTTTATGAAGATGCTTACAAACAAAAACACACTCTCTATGTTGCATTTCATTTATAATGAAACTAAATAAAGCAAGTGCTGAAGTAAATAGTTTTAATGAACAAATTTCAAGTCTTGATTTTTATTTTTATTTTTCATTTACAGGCTGTTTGACTGGTTAGTCACTTTCATAAACAACAGTATGTGTGCAGACAATCCCACGTGGTGCAACTTCATTGGTACAAATTCTAATTATTCACTAATTAAATTTTAATATATTGCTAAATATATTACTTACTTGTCAGAATTGTCAAATCATATATATTTTTTCTGAATGGAATGAAAATACTTCTAAAACACTTTTAATCCTTGGCTGCTGTCTTCTACAGGCCTGCTGGATGTGTACGGTTTTGAATGCTTCCTCTTGAACAATCTGGAGCAGTTGTGCATTAATTATGCTAACGAGAAGCTGCAGCAGCACTTTGTGGCTCATTACCTGAAGGCCCAGCAAGAGGAGTATGTGACTGAGGGGCTGCAGTGGTCCTTCATACGGTACCAAGACAACCAGTGCTGCCTGGACCTGATTGAAGGCAGTCCTTCCAGCATTTTCTCCCTGCTCAATGAGGTCAGCTTGCACTTCTTATCTCAGAGAGGGAAATCAGAAAAAGATGTGATGCATATTTGCATCACAAATGTAGTGACTGCCTTTATTTATAGCTTTATCTTGCATATTGAAAGAGCTTTTTTAGTAGCACTAATGAGTTTATTCTTTCTTTCTCTTCATTCTGTCTTTCTCTTTCTGTATTTCTGATTCTTTCGTCGTCCAGGAGTGTCGTCTGAACAGAGCATCGGATGCGAAGCAGTTTCGTGTGCGTCTGCAGAAGGAGCTCTCAGATAACGCCAGCATCAGCTGGGACAAACTCAGCAAAGAGCCCCATTTTACTGTGGCTCACTATGCAGACAAAGTCAGTTACCAGATTGAGGGCATGATGGAGAAGAACAAGGTGCAAACTATATAAGTATTAGCATACAATAAACTATGTGGCTTGTCTATGCTGAAATTTCTTCCTTTGGGATTAATGAAGTTTATAAAGTGCCTGAATGTCCATTTGTTCTGTAGGACCCGGTTCCCCCTGAGATCATCAGTCTCCTGCAGAAGTCCCAGGATTCATTGCTGCACAGTCTCTTTGCTGACGGTGACCGTGAGAGCGAGGGGTCTAGAGGACACAGTAAAGTGGTCACTGTTGTCTCCAAATTTAAGGTACAGATTTTTAAGAGTAAAAATTAAGCTGTTAGTGCATTACATTTTGTTTATTGAAAGATTTCTTTCTGTTGTTTTAAATGATTGTGTTTTAGCTCTTAATCATTATGATTCACATTATAAGATGATTAGACATACAGCGGGTAAAATAAGTATTGAACACATCACCATTTTTCCCAGTAAATATATTTCTAAAGGTGCTGTTGACATGAAATTTTCACCAGATGTCGGTAACAACCCAAGTAATCCATACATACAAAGAAAACAAAACAAATAAGTTCAGAAATAAAATGGAATGACACAGGGAAAAAGTATTGAACTACTGAAATTTATTTAATACTTTGTACAAAAGCCTTTAATGGTAATGGCAGCTTCAAGACGCCTCCTGTATGGAGAAAAATCAGATAAATTATATATGGCCAAACCATACTATGAAAACCTTTAGAATTTAGATAGGAATAAAATGGCAAAGTTGGTTTTTGTAAGTAAACCAAAATAAGTATTTTGGGTTTTTTCTTTCCAGTAGTCTTAAAGAAGACATGTTATGAAAGCAAAATACCCCAAAATCTCAACATTGACCGGTGCATGAAATGCATTGGTTTTACTTGCAGTGTCTTGCCTTAAAACACAATAAAAGTATCATAAACATGTATTTCTAACGCTCATCTTTCACTCACAGGCCCTGAGATGAGTGATCAGGCTGTTCTGGGATCTGCTGTAGAGGATGTGCTCAGTGTGGTCTTCAAGAGACGCGCCCCAAACAACAACAACAACATGGTGCACTGTGGCAGGACCAAAGTCTTTCTCACAAACTCCCTGGTAAAGCGTGCACTCTGAATACTTATGATTGTAATGCAATTTGTAAAATGCCCGTTTGCGCTGAGGCAGCTGTTGAAAGTTCACTGAACTCTTTCAGCCTGTTTACTCTGTCTCAGCTGATGCAATCACAAGCTGTCAGATGTGTTTTAACTTGACGTCAGTAGTTAATTTATCATGTGTTGTGCAGCTGGAGATGCTGGAGGAGCATAGGAACAGGGTGCGCTCACAGAAGGCGTTCTGTATCCAGTGCTGCTGGCGCAGGTACCAGACGCGTCAGCGTAACCTGAGGACACAGGCTGCCACCCGCTTACAAGCAGGTTAGGACTTAACATCTTTATTTTGCGATTACAGGTAGTATGGTTGTATAACAAATAGGGCTGCACAATTTGGGGAAAAAATTTAATTGACAATTACAATAAAAAAACAAAAAACAAATCCAGCCAATATTTTGTGGTTGTACATCAATGTGGCTATTTAATGAATGAATGAATGAATAAATAAATTATTATTATTATTATTACTACTACTAAATTAAAATATAAAAAACATTACTAAATAAAAACAAAATAAGTAATATTACTATTGTAATATTTCACTGTAAAATGAATTTTTATTTATTTATTTATGCACTTCTCAACAGTAAAACAGTACTTCTCTTAATTTTGTAATTTTAACCATTACGTTAAACCATTGAACTTTTATTTGGACAGAAAACCGCATAGAGAAGTCAAAGCTTCTCTTTTGTTGAAAAACGCTTCTCATTACAACTTTGCCTTTGCGATTTAATAATTGCGTTAAGCTATATTGCAATTTTGATTAATCATGCAACCCTAATGACTTGTTCTAGACTTTTCATAGTTATTGCTAAATATTAAAGCTGGGAATAAGCTGGTTGTGTTTGTAGACACTTTTAGACAGCTTAAGAGATAAAGTGCACAAGCGAGAAGACATTATTCCTCAGGAATTGACCCAGTGACTGTGCATTTCTCTCTGAGCTCTGCCTGGCTGAAGGAGCAGACATCTGCTGTGCGTCTAGACGCTGACACCTGATCAACTTCCTCTTGATTATCCCTTAAACTCAGAACAGAACAGATGCAGCTCACCTGAGCCAAACACCTGCTTCACTGAGATCAGTAGAGCCAAAGGCCAAATCAGACCACACTAATTTTATAGTGCAGATCATACAGTATTGAAGATGTAGGGCTGCATGAGTAATCAAAGTTAAACCAAAAGCGCTGTGTTCGTTTACACGTGAGCAGCTCATTGTGTGCCGTGTCTTCAGTGTCTCAGAGCGTCTCTGTTCACAGTAAATGCTGCTTATCACAAACTCCATATCTGCATCTGTCGGAGTTTAACTCCTAAGACAAAACGGCTCTATATCCAGTATTTGTACAGTATTAAATGTGACCCTGGACCACAAAACCAGTCATAAGGGTCCATTTTTCGAAGCTGAATAAATAAGCTTTCCATTGATGTATGTTTGGTTAGAATAGAATAATATTTGGCCCGAGATACAACTATTTGAAAATCTGGAATCTGAGGGTGCAAAAAAATCTAAATATTGAGAAAATCGCCTTTAAAGTTGTCCAAATGAAGTTCTTAGCAATGCATATTACTAATCAAAAATTAAGTTTTGATATATTTACGGTAGGAAATGTACAAAATATCTTCATGGAACATGATCTTTACTTAATATCCTAATGATTTTTGGCATAAAAGAAAAATCTATAATTTTGACCAATACAATGTATTTTTGGCTATTGCTACAAATATACCCCAGCGACTTAAGACTGGTATAGTGTTTTTAACTCTATGTGTATCTTTTTCACAGGTGTGAGATCCTGGCTGGTCAGAAGAGAGATTAAGAAATGGCACAAAGCTGCATCCGTCATCCAAAACAAATGGAGGCGCTGGAGGGTAAGCATTGTGCTGATGTTTATTTTTATTAATAAAGATGTTGGACATGACTTGATTTTGTCTTTTGGGAATTGATTGGATTGTGAAGACAGTTTCATACCAGGGATGAAGGCAGGTGTTTGGAAGGGAAGGAAAGGAATAAAATGCAAACAACAATTATTTTTATATTTTATTGATCTTTTAAAATGTAATCAAATTAAAATGTAACAAGCTTTTGACTAACAAAGTGCGGCACAACAGATATCTCCTGTTTAAATTAAAACATGGTCGAAAAATAGTGTGATTAAAAAAAAAAAAGTATTTTTATAAATTGTATTATTATTATTATTATTATTACTTTGAGAAGTACATTAAAGTATATAATATTAACTTGTAATGAAGAGCTTTGAGTGCCACACGGTTTTGCAATTTTGTGATATTCCTTAAAAAAGGAATTATTATTGTCATTACTGTACAATATTAATATATTTTTGTGAAAATGTCCCCAAACTGAACTTTTATTTTGCTGTTTTGTAGTAAAGACCTTTGAGTTTCTGTGTTTATTTGATATGCTTTATGGTGAAATGTTTGTGTTTTGTTTTAATATATCCTTTTTCCTTTAGAAATGTGTCATAAAATGGGTTATAAACACCATTTCCTGCTGACTTTAAATGTTGATTGATTTAGCTTCAGTTCTACATGTTTTGTGCCGTTTTCTTATCTTTCTGCGTTCCTCCTCGATAGGCGTGGATGGATGCGTTAGCTGAGGCAGAGCTGGATGATGCTGAGGATTTCATGGAGAATGAAGCATCGTCCGTGTTGCCGAAGCTGCTGAAGGAGAGAGGCTCTGTGCAGCTCTCCAGCATCCAGGAGCCTGTGATGGTCAGAGGTTGGCCCATCGGTCTGGCCATGGCCTCTGCTCCCAGCATCACCGTCTCTCTGACAGCCACGGGTTTCCAGCGGATCATGTCTATGATGGCCTGTCTGAAGATCCCATTCAGACACGGAGAATACAAAGTAAAGACCAACCAGTTTGACCAGGGTGTGGCGTCTATCAGAGCTCAGCCACGGGTGAGAGACGCTGCTAACATACCGTTTACTCATTTTCTTGAGTGACCATGAATTATTCCAGGAGGAATACAGCTTACACTCATTGTTTTAGTATTATTTATATACTATTAAAGTATTTATTAATATTTTAATTAATTTTAATATTTTCAGTTTTCATTTTAATTTCAGGTTTCAAGTTTAAGTAATTTTATGTGCTTTTGTCATTTATAATTGTAATTTTTTTATATTCTACTTATTTTATTTATATTTTAGTTTTAGAAATTTTAGTGCTTCAACTTCAACTTATTCATTTAATGTAGTTGCCAAGGTAACATGTCTTAGTTTTTCATCTAATATTTATATTATATTTTATCTTTATTACCGTAAACATTTTTTTTGTAGATTTAGTTAACTATAATAACACTGTTTGTAAATCACGTTTACTCAGAGGTAGATAAAATTATTACATTTTAATGTGGATTGTTTTTTTCTTGGTGAATAAGTGCAAGAAACATGTATTATGAAACTTTTTATTTAAATCATTTATATACTATTGTATTTCTTTTTTTTTTTGTAATTTTGTAATGTGCTTTTGTATTTTTTTTTTATATTTGGACTCTCATTCTGACGGCACCCATTCACTGCAGAGGATCCATTGCTGAGCAATTGATGCAATGCTACATTTCTCCAAATCTGATGAAGAAACAAACTCATCTACATCTTGGATGGCCTGAGGGTGAGGACATTGTCAGCAAATTTTAATTTTTCCATTGCATTGCATTACATTGTTCGCATTCAAAAGACATTGGTATAATACAAATTTTACATTATTACATCAACATTTTTTTAATGTTAGTGCGGTAGGAATCGGTCCATATGGGACAGTTCCATCCAATCAGAATTCATCATTATCATCCTCATTCTCCGTGTCTGTCGGTTCAATAATGTTTAAGCACTGATCAGCAAACTCCACAAACAGCGGCTCCTGCATGGCGTCTTTCATGGCTTTGGCTTTATCTTCAGCCGAGTCCACAGACATCATTAACCGCCGGAGATGAGGATTCCTCAACAGACCCTTCAACGCCTCTGAACCACCTGTGTGAATGAAAACCATCTGTAACCATCTCTCACAAAAACAGCACTACAGATCGTGTGAATAGAGTGTTTATCACTTCATACCCAGCTGCTGAAGTCTCTGTAATGGCACTTTGTCAGTCTGACTGTCTTCATCAAGAAGATCCTCGACAGTCCACGGCTGTTCCGCTGAAATCAAACATTTCACTAGAAACTTTTCATTTTCTGTTCAAGATCATCATCAGAAGGAGACAGAAAAGTTCTCTTGATCACCTATAAAGCATTAAATGTGTTACAGGCCTGAGTGATGATCATTTACTCACCGCTGGTCACTGGTGTCCAGCTGCTGGAGGCTGGATCGGATTCTTTAACTGGATGACACGAGTCTATGAGAGGAAGGAAAAATAATGGCTTCAATAGTTTGTTTTTGACTTGGTGCTCAGGACAGTCAATAATAATATTTAAATTAGTAATAATAAAATAAATTAATACAATAATAGGTATGATAATAGTCTATACATACACACACACACACACATACATATATATACAAAATAAATTAATATAAAAAAACAATAATAGTGTTGTTGTTTTTTAAGTACAAACAGTCAAACGTGGCGCACGCAACGGCATGGTGAAGGGTTCGATTCCCAGGGAATGTATGAAATGATAAAGTGTAAACACTGATTGTAAATTTTAAATGTAATCTAAAATAATCTAAATTATTGTCAATATAATATATAAGTAGATACTTACCATCATCTTTGTGTCTTTTAAAGCAACTCACTGAACAACTAGAAGGAAAGAAAATGTGTTATTTGATCAGTATTATTTTTTTCCAAAAGCAAAAGTGAGCTGATAAAGGTATTTATGGTATAAACTTGACAGTTACCGAACATAAATAAATGACTTACTATCTGATTCTGCAGGCTGGACATCTGTATTTAGGAACGTGTTCGCTACAAACTCCACAAAGCTGCATAACTGATCTAGAAGATCAACAAGCAAACAAACAGAATATAACAACGTTTATATTAAGCAGCTTTTAGTTACTGGAACCACGTGTTTATGTTGTTCTTCTTCTTCTTCGTCCGTTTTTTGGCGCGTTGCATCCTGTGCGCATATCGCCACCTACTGTTGCTTTTATGCAGTCATGGTTTATTTATAATCAATTTTTTCCTTGTTTTTGCTTTTCCTGTTCTTACACATGTATACACACAAATACTCCTACTTAAGCTCCTCCAGACTAAATCCGTGGTCTCCTAAAGATCCAGAATAGAATAGAGCATCCGCACTCTATATTTAAATCCTTTCACTTAACCCAGTAGTATATATGTATTTTATTAATATCCTGTATCCTACTACTCTATCTCTATTAAAAGCATATCCTAATGAATATTCCAAATCCTTATTTACCTTAGCTTTTTTGTTTAAGTATGATATTAATTCCTTTCTTTCTTCATCATACCTTGTACAGTTATATATTACACGCTCTACTGTTTCTTTATGTTGTTGACAGCGTGCAGGACTTTTAACTCATTTCCGAGCGCTTCCGGTGTGGAGTGCTGAGGTCACGGTGTCCTTTCTTCTCCACGTGTGTGTGTCAGTCAGTGGGATCCGCGAGCTAAACTCAAGCGAACACAGCCGCAGTCATGCTGAAGTGTGTGAGCCGCGCGGTTCAGCTCGCAGCCCGGCTCTCCGCCTCCGTGCCGCCCGCTGCCTCCGTCAGCCCCGCGCTGCGCCTCAGCAGTGCCTTCACCAGATCCATCTGGAGCCTGAGCCACAGCGGACCGGCGTCAGGATCCAGGCCGAGGCTGCTCACAGCGACGCGGGCTCTGCCCACAGTGTCGTGCGGCTGCGGGAGTCTGCACACCGAGGGTAAACGCTGCTCCACACTCACACGAACTAAAAAATACCACGGTAAAGGTATAGACGTTAACCAAAAAGTACCATAGTAAAGGTATTATGTGTGGTTAAAGGTATGGAAACTAACTAAAAAATACCATGGTAAAATATAGACACTAACTACTAAAAAATACCATGGTAAAGGTATAGAAGTTAACTATAAAGTACCATAGTAAAGGTATTATGTGTGGTTAAAGGTATGGAAACTAATTAAAAAACACCATGGTAAAATATAGACACTAACTACTAAAAAATACCATACCATGGTAAAATATAGACACTAACTACTAAAAAATACCATGGTAAAGGTATAGAAGTTAACTATAAAGTACCATAGTAAAGGTATTATGTATGGTTAAAGGTATGGAAACTAACTAAAAAATACCATGGTAAAATATAGACACTAACTACTAAAAAATACCATGGTAAAGGTATAGAAGTTAACTATAAAGTACCATAGTAAAGGTAATTTTTATGATAACGGTATAGAAACAAACTATAAAGTACCGTACTAAAGATCCAGAATAGAATAGAGCATCCGCACTCTATATTTAAATCCTTTCACTTAACCCAGTAGTATATATGTATTTTATTAATATCCTGTATCCTACTACTCTATCTCTATTAAAAGCATATCCTAATGAATATTCCAAATCCTTATTTACCTTAGCTTTTTTGTTTAAGTATGATATTAATTCCTTTCTTTCTTCATCATACCTTGTACAGTTATATATTACACGCTCTACTGTTTCTTTATGTTGTTGACAGCGTGCAGGACTTTTAACTCATTTCCGAGCGCTTCCGGTGTGGAGTGCTGAGGTCACGGTGTCCTTTCTTCTCCACGTGTGTGTGTCAGTCAGTGGGATCCGCGAGCTAAACTCAAGCGAACACAGCCGCAGTCATGCTGAAGTGTGTGAGCCGCGCGGTTCAGCTCGCAGCCCGGCTCTCCGCCTCCGTGCCGCCCGCTGCCTCCGTCAGCCCCGCGCTGCGCCTCAGCAGTGCCTTCACCAGATCCATCTGGAGCCTGAGCCACAGCGGACCGGCGTCAGGATCCAGGCCGAGGCTGCTCACAGCGACGCGGGCTCTGCCCACAGTGTCGTGCGGCTGCGGGAGTCTGCACACCGAGGGTAAACGCTGCTCCACACTCACACGAACTAAAAAATACCATGGTAAAGGTATAGACGTTAACCAAAAAGTACCATAGTAAAGGTATTATGTGTGGTTAAAGGTATGGAAACTAACTAAAAAATACCATGGTAAAATATAGACACTAACTACTAAAAAATACCATGGTAAAGGTATAGAAGTTAACTATAAAGTACCATAGTAAAGGTATTATGTGTGGTTAAAGGTATGGAAACTAACTAAAAAATACCATGGTAAAATATAGACACTAACTACTAAAAAATACCACGGTAAAGGTATAGAAGTTAACTATAAAGTACCATAGTAAAGGTAATTTTTATGATAACGGTATAGAAACAAACTATAAAATACCGTAGTAAAGGTAGACACTAACTAAAAAGTAGTTTCGGTTATTTAAAAAAAAGCCTTATTTTATTTCTGCCTGTTGCTAACGAAACATTTTCGTTTAGTTTAATTTTATATACTAAAATAACTAAAGCGGATTAAAAATGAATGAATCAAAAAAATAAAATGTGAAATAAGAGTGATTTATGAAATAAATAAAAAACTAGTAAAAAATGACCTAAACCGCCAAACTAAATTTCAGACTAGTTCATTAAAATGGAAAATAAAAACCTAGTTGAAAGCATTAATAAAATGTTTCAATGTTAATTCTAATATTTTATAATATTACAGCAGATGTCATGTCCTGCGTTATGTGCATTGGGTGTTTTCAGTCAAACTTGTGACCTTGAGGCTGAATCAGGAGACGAACAGCATGTCGTGTGAACTAACCACTGAGACTCGTTCACTAGTGTTGGTTACTAGAGCATGCATGCATGTTGTCTGGAGTGTTTTATTGGTTCTGTCTTTATTCTGCAGGTGATAAAGCGTTTGCAGAGTTTCTCACTGATGAAATCAAAGAAGAAAAGAAGATCCAGAAGAACAAGAGTCTTCCTCAA